GTGGTTCTGCTGCTGCATCACTGTTCGCCACAGCAATTTTCAGCTGTCTCAAGTTAAGGCAAATTGACTATCCATGATTCTGGCTTTACGCGCCATCCCCAGAACATAAACCCCATGTAAGTTGAGTCTCACCTTTATGACAATTTTAGTATTTTTACTCTACATGTTAAACAAGTGCAGGGAACAGGCCAACAGGTCACCGTTTCCCAAGTTTATGACAGATGGAATGTGCCAAATGTATTCAGCGCGTTACATTCCAATAGTCAATTTGCATGATTTAACGTTGCACCCAGAAACTGCTACGTTACGTTTTAATTGTAAACTGCTTGGAGGCCTCTGTACAGCCCAAAGACCAAATATGATTTTCCCTCCATCTTCAAATTATCAGTTTCCCTTCTTCTTTGAAAGACAAAACAGATACTGCTCAAATTAATGCATTCACCACTTGCTACTCTCTTCTGCTTGTTACAATGTTACACATTTTGTGTTTTCATATTGTAAACCACCCTGTAATCTTTGGGTGAAGGACAGTATAGAAATTTTAATAATTAATAATAATACTTACTTATTCCAAGCTTCAAGTTTGTCACATAACTCAGCACTTCCTACCTCTGAAATATCAATCTTTTAGATCGGGAGTGGGAAGCCTTTATTAGCCTGTGGGTCACATCATTCCCTCCTGGGCGACCTTTGGGGACGGGCAGCAGAGACAATGGGTAGAGGCAAAATGTGGGTGGAACAACAAATGTGAACTTTACCTTTGGACAGTAGGCTAGCTTCCACATATATATGCAGTCCCTCTCTGTCCCTCATTCATGCAAGAGGGGCTATAAGATTTCAAGGACACATTTCAGACAGTCAAAAACTAGTAGAGGAGGATGAGAAGCTGGGCCGGAGTGTGTGTGGACTGGGGAGAGTCCCGAAGGCCAAGACCTGGAGAGCTGCACTGAGTCCCTCAGGTTCTCCACCCATTTTAAACCATGATGGAGTCATCTCCCTTAAGGTTGCCGGGATGCCTTTCTTGTTGATTCCAAGTACGAAATGATTCATGACTTAGAAGTTCATTCTGGGGAAGGAAGTTGCTTTAAAATTGTGCATGAAATGGAAAGAAACAGACATTTAGGGAAAGAGAGTTTTATTTTTAAGCTTCTATGAGGGTTTTTACAAACAGAGTAAAAAAAAAGCTTTTCAAAAGTAAGCAAGAATGTCATTTACCTTATACTATTGTAGGTATGTTTCTAAATCCAAAAGTTCCACTAAAATTGATCAGACTGGCCTCGCTGCTTGGAGGCAGGCAACTACTTCTGACAAGCTGTTTGGACTGCTGACGGGGAGGTGGGGTGCTGACTAGGAAAAGGAAAGTCTCTGCTCTAAAATTTGGTGCATGCCAAGTAGTGGGCAGTGAAATTTAGGACAGTGAAATCACACTGAGAGGTGACTAGCAAACCATAATTGGAAAGTAGTGACACTGAACTGTCCTATGTTGCTGGACTGAACCTACAAGGATGGGTCCCATAGGGCACAGAAAGGAGTGTTTCACAAAGACTCTTGAAGACACCCCAGGGAGATACTATTCTCTTATTATCTTTTAAAATCCAAGGTACAACTGATATTTTAAAAAGGGCAACTGCTTGATTTCTGATTTCTCAGCATGTCGGGAAAGCAATGAGCTCAGCAAATTATCCACTCACCCCCAAAACTGGCCAGAGGGCCTAGGGCACTCTAAGCCTGAAATCATTTAAATTCAAATCATAAATCAGAACATTCCTCTTCTGAGACAAACTCCAGTACTTAATTTATTGGAATTTACTCAACATGTTATCCCTGGGATAAGCCATTTCTATGCTTTCTGAATGTCATTATAACATCTAGCATACTAAGCCACATTAAACCTTTTCTTGCCCGTGACAAATGGCTCTGGGAACAACTGGTGCTGGTGGGAAAAAGCCCTCCAACAAGATAAAGAGGGTCCATTAACTGGACATTAAACTGGAGGTTAAGTAAGGAGAGCTACTAATAAAATGGCCTGCTGTGGGGATAGGAAGGAGATGGTTATGCTATTAAAAACTCCACAAACTTCCAAACAAATAGCTGAAATACTTTGGTATATAGAGCAGTACTTTCTTTTTTAAATGGTTTGGTTTACAGCACCAATGTGAAACTAGAGCCAAATTATTTTTTTAAAAAAAAATTAAGAACCACTCTACAGGTAACTAGAGAGATAGAGAGAGAGAGAGAGAGAGAGAGAGAGAGAGAGAGAGAGAATTTTGTTGTTTTTAAGAAGCTCCCCTTTAGCAGGATAAACAAAACAGGACTTCTCTCCAGACCTGATCCCAAAGTTCTCAGAGATAACCATTTCTCCAAACTTCACTGTGTGAGTGTATAAACCATCTCTAAAACTAGGATGTGACAGAAACAAGTACAGTGGTGCCCCGCAAGACGAAATTAATTCGTTCCGCAATTTTTGTCGTCTAGCGAATTTTTCGTCTTGCGAAGCACGAAATCCCATAGGAATGCATTGAAAATCAATTAATGCGTTCCTATGGTCAAAAAAAGTCCAAACAAAGCCAAATTTGGCACAACAACAGTTTATTAACTGCTCTTTAAAGTCACACATACTGTAAAGAGCAGTTCAAAAATTGAAGGGAAAATAAATTAACTTTATAAACAAAACATGTCTTTGTTTTTAGACAAAGAAAACAAAGTCGCGAGACGTTTTCGTCTTGCGAAGCAAGCCCATAGGGGAAATTCGTCTTGCGAGGCAAATCGAAAACGGAAAAACCTTTCGTCTAGCGAGTTTTTTGTCTTGCGAGGCATTCGTCTTGCGAGGTACCACTGTAATGTGAACTGTCTCTCCTAAGTCCCCTTCCTCTACCTACAGGCACACCCCATCAGTTCATGTCGCATGCCAGTTCCTATGCTACCATTCTGAAATATTGTGTTCTTGTATTTGGGCAAAATCTACTACAGCTACAGAGGAACAGTATTTTCTCTCTACTTGGGAATAAAACTCAATATTGACAGAGTGTCTACAAGTTCTCTAGCTCACCTCCTGGTCAATCTTCCTCTTTTACAGGGATATAAATTTTTGACTGTAACTCTTGTGAATCAGGTGTTTGGAAAATAACCTAGAACAGCTTGATCTACATTAGAAAAAAAAAATCTTAAAAGGTAACTGACTAGCATTTGTTCTACATTAAAATTCCGAAGCCAGCAGGCAAGCATAAATATTCAACTTATCAGCTTAATTATCATTTTAAAGCAAATTTCATGAATTCTTCAACACAGAGTTTGGTCAATCTGCATAATCATGATTCTCTTGATTTCCAGCCTCAGTCCTTCTTCCAATATTACCTATGAGCAACTTCACCGACTCTTAGCCTTATGATATTGAATCCTGGGAATTTTAAAGTTACATGATTCCAAGACTTCGCGTGCCCAACCACAGCCCGAGCATTTCAAGTCTCTTAGAGAAGAATCAAGCACTGGAATTAATTTGGACTGTGGTCTGCAACCTGAAATTAAATCTGTTTGTGATGCTCCATTCCTCTACTTTGAGAAAACAGTCTACTCACCAAATACTAAAAATGAAAAATACACCCTCCGTAAGAAGTCAAAGAAAGGGAAGTTTTAAAAAATAAATTAAACACACACACACACACACACAGTTCCCTGTGGGCAATAAATAAATGTGCACAAAAGTGTAGCTTTGATTACTTGGAACTAACATGAGTGAGGTTGGTTGAGCAAGCAAAGCTAAACTGCTGGCCATCTGAAACCTTCTGACTGCTCACATGAGTACAGCATTGTCCTGGTGGATGTCCATGATACAAAGCTTCCAGATGTTTCCGTGACGCCGATTTCAGTATAACAGGTCAGCAAAGGAAGATACAGCATTGGAGAAGATGCAAATTGGCTACTAGTTCTATGGTGGCTGCAACTCAAGTCAATTTGGCTGCCACCACTCAGTAGCTCTGCTCTCAAACCCCTCTATGAAACTTTGGATCATGCCCTTTTTAATGAAAAGGCAGAAAAGCAAAAGTTTGGTGGCTACAAAAATAAAACAAAATACAAAAACAAAATCAAGCAGCCCCTAAAGCTTAAGGTGTTCAGGCAGTCCTGAATCAAGACAAGTGACCAAATTTACAAGTAATCCAAAGTTAAAGTCCCTTTCTGTATAAGATAGAAGTTACTTCTATTTACTTTAACATGCAAATTTATAATATATGGTATATAGAGAATATAGTGAAATGCTAATGTCTAGAATATAACCATCTACCCAGCTAGTCTCTGCCTTACCTTTGGCATGATTTTTTTTTTTTACAGTTTTGTTTGTTTTAAAATCCCCCATTTGAATTGCATGCACCACACGCTGCATACCTGTGCCCCACCCACCCCAATATCCCCACACACTTTAAGAGCAGATGTCAGGCAGGCGATTGTAAACATTTAGCCATCCAGATTAAAAATAACATTAACAAAGATTTGTTCTAAATTAATACATTAAAAAAATAATTTTAAAAATGCAATAAAACTGCATTTTTTCCTCAATTTTTCTTGAAAAGACATCCCGTGTTTTTGAACGTTTGAAAAAACCTTTAACGTTTCCCAAACCTATCCCACCCCTGTATGCTCCCCCCACCATGGCAATCTAAATTATAACCTTCTTTTGAGAATGGAAAACACCCTTCCACATTTGAGATTTAGGCAATCTCCTGATAAGAGGTTATTCTTGCTTTCTCTTGAAGTAAAGGGAAGATGAACCGGGCTCTTCAAGAGGTCAATTGTTTTTGGGTGGTCTGCCGTGTTTGAGAGCTTCAAGTCCAAAGGGAAATAGAATACTGTATCCAAACTCATTTCTTGAAAGGGACAAATGTGCAATTTTTTTAAGTGAACCCAGAAGCTTCCCGCTTCAAATGCTGAACAACAATCTAATAATTCTGAACCTCTGAAAATATTATGTTTTATAATCTACCCCCTCCCATATTTTTTTTGAACACTTCGGCCATGTTCTCCATCAGGATAAATTTTCAGTTCATGAGAAATATTTTCAATTTTAACCTTAATTGACATTTGCATAACTTCTTCTTCTTCTTCTTTTTTAAAAAAGTGATTTAGTTCTGGGACTTTACCAAGTCACTGTACTGCGTTTCATCTAATAGTCATTTTATAAATACTCAAGTACATACTTCACTATGTACTGAAGTACCTGCATGCAAACAGTCTAATTCCCTTGAAGACCCTTGCTGGTATCATTTGCCTTGCTAAGACAAGAACACAAACTCAGACACCTGGAGAAATCTCTTGGTATCTCTTCTAGCTACTGCTCTGCTGTACATGTGATGAAATGTGCAGGAAAAATCTCATACGTCACATTTCCAAACATGTAGGCAAATTTATTTCACAACTTTGTGGGAGGAGCACTTCTAAACCTTGACGTCTTGAGGCACTAGAGAAAGGAGAGCCAAAAGATTTATATATTTATTTAATGGCTGGAACAAGCTTCCAGATGGAAAGTTAAAACAGCGCAAGGCTGAAGTTACTTATTTTAAGCAACTTTTTTAAAAAAGGGCTCTTTTCTTAAATTCCAAGTTCACAAGATACGACACAAATGTTCAATAAATATCCACTAAAAAATCAACGGACAAAATAGCTTTTCAGGAGTTACATTACAGGAGGCACTTATTCATAGGACCTGACAGTTCCATCACTTGGAATCTTAAACGGAATAAAGCTTTTAGGAGCAGCAAAGCAGATACCTACAAATTCTTAAACACCAAGAGGAAACAAAACCCAAAAGCCATCTTTAAAGAGAAAAATCTCATCGTTGCAAAGCCAATCCCATTAGGGGCACCTGCTTTCCATCAGCACTAGAAAACCCAGTGCTCTAAGAACATTCTTGTACTCTCAACTATCTTCCAACCAATGCTTCTTGATTTAAGATTTCCAGGGCCTAGCCAGCCACTAAAGATTAGGGCTGTGGTGCACATCTAACCAATTCATGCTGGCAACTGCTTGCTAATAAAAAAGTTTTGAGAGGCTCTGTGCTCTAAAGCTAAACCATGGTTTTTAGGTCAAGCCAGAAGGTAGATCCACTGCTAATTCCACTTTTAGATATCAGCCACTTTGGAAAGGTACCAGTGCCAGTTGTCATACCATGTATCACCAGTTCTCTGCCAACTAGTATACTTCATTTGCTAAAGTACATTTCATAGAAGTCCAATGGAAGAACAGGTTGCAGAGCCAAAAGGAGGGCACACCCAGCTTTTAGGACAAGGCAATAAAATGGCTCCCATTAGACTGCTTCTACTAACCCTTTCTATTTATCTCTTTCCCACACCTTCTGTACTTCCCAGTACACTCCGCACATTAACTTGACATCCAATTTAAACACCACTTTCTTCTACACACAGCCCAGTGCCGTTCTCAACTTGCACGTGCTGTTCTTCCACCTGGATCTCGAGTCCAACTTTTCACACTTCCAATATCTCCTCTGTTCCCTCACCTGCGCCAGCATTCTCTACCCAAGGTGCTTCACTTCCCCGACAAAACACGCCCAGACCTTTGATGACTACCAGCCTACTTTCCAAGATGAATTCTCTAAAGTAGTGATTAACTCCGCAATTGCTGGACTGTGCAAAAGCAAGCAGAAGGGTGAGGGCCTATCACTGAGAAAGACAGGCCACCCTGATCATCCGCGGAGAAGACTACTGCAACTGGTCCTACTGGTCACCAGGGCTTTAGTTCACCTATGAGTTTCTCATTATATCTTTCAGCCACTCTACCTTGTCCTCTGCTATAAAGGGTTTTAGCCTCTCCCCACTCCTTCTCTAGGCAGTTCAATATTTTGACAGTGTACTGCTCTTCTTGTCATCTTGTGGAAGATGCCCTAGAAAGCATGCTTTACTCTTCTCCAAACCATTTTTTGTGTGCAAGTGACATCTCAAATCTGCATCTTTATGGGATCATTCTTGTATCAATTTGAAGTTGGGAGGCCTGAACAATTCCTAACCAAAACACATTTCTTTGGCAAAATTATCTCCTGTGCCCTTCACCCCGACAGATGATATCTCCAAGTGGTCTTAATATGAGCTTTCTTGATATTTTGCTCAAGGGAAACACAAAACTGCATTTCTACTATGTTTGTCCTCTACCCAAAGAGCAAATACCCAATACGGCAAAAAGATATTGTTATTGAAAATAACAAAGTCTTTTGCCTATGCGGAACCACCCATTTATTTAGTTTTTTGAAAAGCACGACTCAATATCTTGAAATCAAAAATATTTCTGGATGTACATTACTGACTCTCTAAATCCAAGTTTAGGAAGTCAGCAAACATCAGGCATGCATTCTCCCCCTTTATCCCACCCTGTGTTGGTGCAGAGATCCTGGCTAGTTTCAGCTGCAATTCCCCATTATGTCTGAATTGGCAAACTGTTATTTTACTAACCAGGATCAAACCATGGTTTATTATTACTGCTAACAGTAATACTGTAACAGCTCGGTTTACTATTTCAGATCCAATGGGAAACTGTAGTTTACTCTAACAAGATCAGATCACTAATGGGAAAGGTAAGTGTGTGAGTTTGTTGTTTGTTCCTGGTTCTCAAACTATGGTTTAAGCACACTATTTTCAAGCTACTTTCAAACTGTGGCATAATGTCTTTGGAAAACACTCAGATTTTCTTTAAATTCTGGAGAGTTTAGGAAGACATCATAGCCAAAGTTCACAGAAGAGGCTAAATAAACATCTTGCTGAAGCCTCCACAATACTAAAGGAATTCATCTTGGAGGCTAGGCATCTCTTAAACATGCACCGCAGTACCACCTTCTGTTTTTCATTAGACACCCATAGGTAAACTTCATTGCTTTTCCTACTCCACTTCCATAAAAACCATTAATATTCACTCACTGTTTGGACGCATCTTAAATCTGAAACTTGCTTTCTCTGCTCACTGCCCTTTAGTTTTCACCAGCTTTTCACTTCCAACTTTCTCTCATACAGCAAATGTCTTTTCATATAATACACTCCACCCATTTTCTTTTAGGCACAAAACCACCTACTCATAAAGCCTGTGTGCAAATGAAATTGCCTTCCTTCATATTCCGAAAATGCTGCCACATTAACAGTCACTACTGAGGTCAGCAGAATAACTGAACTTCCACACTGTGTTGTAACGATGTCCCAGTCACAAGGAATGAAGACCTCCACCCTCTCAGGAAATGAACTCTCCATGTCCTCCAAGCTCTTTGGTAACTTGCCTCATTTTGTTAGCAACTATCCACTCTAAAAATCTAATCAGTCACAGAAAACACCCACCTACTTCTTCACAAGTCAAGCAAGTGCACTGCCCCAATCTCAAAGGACCCTCTTGGTCTGGTCTGACTTTCTGGCAGGTTGCCCAGCACCCCCAAGCACTTTGTAGGACATGCCCAAACATGGATTATGCTGTAACTGCTCCTCCCTCCACTAATTCTGCCACTGAATGTACCTAATTTTGGCTCCCCTTGGAAACATAATACAATATAGGAGCTCCCCCTTGGAAACAGCCAGAATATAGATGGAATCATGTCTCAAGGAGTTGTACTAAGCAGACAGCCCAGCCTCATCAATGACCACAGGAGCATCTTCTTTTCAGGACATCCCAAGTACTGTTATGACTTTACTCTAAAACTTCTGTGTGTGTGTGTTGGGTTTATGAAGTTGATCTATACATCTAGTATAGTACAGCATCTGACAATGCAGTGCACGATCATAGCGCCTTTTTATGCCAGAGGCACAAGTAACCACACTAACCCAAATATCCATAGGATTGAGACAAGAGCTAAGATTATGGTACTCCAACCTTTGCTAGCAAGAGAAAGCAGGAATAAGCCTCACCTTCAGGTTAACAGTCAGAGCTTCAGGACTGTGCTTTAACCTCTGGACTACCTGAAATGCAATTGTTATTGGCAGAATTGACTCAAGAAGAAAACCAGGATTCATTCCCAAAGTCTCTGACCACCTCTCTTTCCCAAGGCTGATGGTGGCAATTGTTGCCCCTAAAGGTTTATATGACAACTTCAATGACCCAGAGACCTTGGTGCCTACAGCATGGCCCCAACACTTTGGGAATGCCTGTCAATTAGAGTTGACTGGAATTCTGTCCCTTCTGGCTTCTTATCCTGTTAAAAACACTAGCAGAAAAAAAGCTTTATTCTGAAAGAGTAGGATTGAGGAGGGTGCTCAGCCTTCATCCTCCAAGCCTTTTGGATAATTTAGAATCCCGCCTCTGAGATTTCATGAAGTCTGAGCATCTGGACAGTGCAGATTCTAGCCCATGATCTCCAAAGAGCAAACTCTGACCAATTCTCAACTGGAGATACACACTTGTGACCAGTTAAGAATCGAGTCAATTAAGTCCACAATAGGGCATAAATGTGTTACTATTTAAATATATTAAAGAATCCCTAAGACACAGCAGTAAGAATCATTTGGGCTGAATCTTTTTTTAAAAATGGCTTTCTTGATGCCAGGATTATCTTTTAAGTTCTGCTTTTCCTTTTCTTAAATACTGGAAGAAAATGAACAAGCATTTATCCTAGCACCAAACACACACTTTGGTAAATAAAACACCACTGACAAAACTTTGTTCACGCTCAAAATAAAAGATAGGAACCCCTGAGTTCAAAAAGAATTGAAGAGGGAAAAAATCACTTTAACTGAGCTACTCTTGGATGAGAATAATTCTCAAACCTACACTTTCCTGTCTCCCCAAGCCCTAAGAAAAAATGAAACCAAGACAACAGCAACAGCTAAGCTCAGAATCGAAAGCAGCAGACGACCCATCTACGTCCAGCCCCATTCCCCCTCAGCAAATACAATCCCAAAAACACAAACAAAAAAACGAAAAACAAAAACAGACATTAATAACGCAGGGATGGGTGAACGGGTGCAGCAGGCGGCCCGCAGCACCACAAGTCCAAACTTAATAAATAAGTGGTAAAAAAAATATCTTCTTTTTCCTTTTGTGTGTTTTGTGTCTGTTCACAGTGCGTGAGCAAGGGTCACTGTTGAGCCTCCAGACAAGGTGGAGAGAGACAAGCAGGGAGCAGCTGTCACTTCGTGGCAACTCCGGATGGCAGGCGCTCAATCACAGAAAGCACAGGCTGGAAAAGGCCTTGTATGCTTGGGCTGCCTGGTGCCAGAAATGCCAAAGGCTCTAGAACACACCCACATTCCAGAAAGACCAGACAGCCACCCCATCTCTTCATGGCAATACTGAAGGAAAAGACAACATGGGCAAGGGTGATTTGAGCAGGTGAAGCAAACAATTCATGCCACTGAAGAGTTGCTGTTGTGAGGGCAGGTGTCTGTTGTGGTGCTCTCTCTTGCCCCACCTTGCAAGCTCTGTCTGCCAAGGGGTCCTTCCTTGGCACAATAGCCACACTACATGGCTACCTGGTGAAGAATGGCAGGTGGTGCTGGCTAAGGATGCTACTCGTGCGGGGTGACTCTGTCTTAGCCATGACATCTTTGAACCAGGACGCCACATCCACTTCCAGTGTCTCATAACGCTTGATGAAGTTATGTTCCTGCAAAGGAACAGGCAAAACGAGATGGAAAATAAGCAAGGGAGTCACACCACCTGTGTTATTTCTACAGAGCTGCGAGCAACGGTTGTCAGCTATAGCTAAGCAACAAGGAGGATACACAACAGCAGCAAACACAAGCAGGGAAAAATCTGACCAAGTCAAATAAAAAAGTAAAAGAACTTTCCCTCTCTTTTAAAGAAACTATGTGGAGAAAAGAAAGGATGTCACTTTATTAATCTCAGCTTCCATGCCAGTTGGCACAAACTATTTCCAAGAAATGTTACTGGTTATTTCTAAACTTTAAGGGTTGGCAGAAGCACCCACTGTGGCCTTTTTCCAAGCCTTGGGGTTTTTTTTAAATATTCACAATGAAAGAGGTGTGACCAATACTCACAAGTAGCTTGTTGTACTTTGGTCTCTTCCTGTGATCTTTAGTAAGGCTAGAAATAACAGAAACACACATTCAAAACACAGGATCAAATTTGTTTTATGGAGCAACCAACACGGCATGTTTCCACTACATGATACATAATGAATCCTTGCAAACAGAGCTCATATTGACATAGGTCTACTCTAAGTTTCAAACTCTCTCAGCTAAACAGGATGAAGTCCATTATTCTTCCATACCAATAATCTTTCAGGGTCAACTTCCTATGCCCAGTATCCCACGGCAGTTTGCAACAATCTTACGTGAGGTTGTTTGATGGAATCCAGGAGTGGCAAGTTGGACACATAAGCTCAAAGTTAACTGAAACAAAACAATCACTATCAGAAGTAGATTTTCTGTTTGACCATTTGTGGAATTGTTAATGCCAGTTGCAAGGAGTGCAATTCATTTACAGCTGCAGATACAGCTGCCTAATTGTTGGAGTGAATGGAAACAAGGAAAGATGGGGAAATGTAACTAACTTACGACATGTTACTTTTTATTTCCATGGCAATGAAGGACTTCCTACACCTTTAGAATCGGTACATCAGACACAGAAAAGAGATAAGAGCCAGGAATGTGTAGACAAGAAGAGGTCATACACAAAGATGTGCTAGCCCAGAATTTAAGCACAGCTGTCATGGAGGCAGATATGGGATTTCCTTTCTAGGTAGAAATCACCAGCACAGGTTGAGTTCAGTCTTTAGAAGAGCATGGTACCAGTTTGAACAAGCAGAACAGTTCCAATTCTTTTGCATACACTATTAATGGTATTGAAGATAGGGTGCCCTAGAATGAACATTAGCCAATATCTGAGAAAGCAACTGGTGTGCAAGAGTTCAGCAGGAAAGTGAGGAACCAGCTGGAACTGCAGGGCTTCCTGTCTATGTAAGAAATGCTGAAGCCGCTCTACATAACATGAATTTAAGGCACTTCACTCACCAGTCTTTCACAAAGGACTGGAAATCCACAGAAAATCCCATGTTGTTTGGGAGAAGGGGAGGATCTTCCTGCAGCACCTTGGTGAGGACTTCAAAATCTGTTTTACAGTTCTTGTAGGGGAACTGACCTGTAGCCAGCTCAACCTGCATTAGGGATGGTAGAGAAATGAAGAATAAGTGCTTAAAAATGGGAATAATCTAAAAAGCATTATTATCATCAGCATCTCTTCAATGATGCTTCAGTGATGTATATTTGCATATAAGCCGCAGGGCAGTTTACAACAAAAGCAAATAGATAAAAATCCATACAAACAACACAATTCTAAATGACTGTACAGAAAGAGACGAGAGCAAGAAAGGGAAGAAATGTGGAACAGAATGATCACTTGGCTTATCCAGCCTCAACAGCAGCGACAAAAATGGGGTTCAGGATAGCCAGAATTCAGCCTCCTTTGAATCAGTTAACTCCATTAAACAAAATTGAAGAAAAGAGAAGAAAAACTCACCCCAAAGCTTATTGCTGTTTATGTCATGTATTAAGGACTGCATACATTAAAGGATGATTGAGATATGATCCAGAACCTGAAGAGCCCAACAAGGGTACACAAATTTCCTTAAAAATGGGGAGCAGGTTTTACTTACCAGAGAGATGCCGAGGCTCCAAACATCTGCACGTATATCATAATCTGGTTTTGAGGGATCAGGGGGATCTATTCTCTCAGGCTGGAAACATAAAGATTATTACAAATTCAGTCAAAAATAAAACCTCTTTGCTACTGGTCTCTTACCTGCACCTAGCAAGATTCCACTAATTACAGAAGCCAAACCATGGGTGGAATTGAATGTAGCACGAAGTGTGTGTGTGTGTGTGTGTGTACAGAATGAACGCCACTCTCACAACAAGACTTCCCCCATCCTCCTAAACCTGTTCTGGGGGTTCCCTCAACCTTCCAGAGCAGATTTAGGGGGAAGCACATGGGTACATGGGGAGAGGAGGGAGAGTCTCACTGCATGAGTGGGCCTTGTTCCATGCACACAAAAACTTAGCTGAATCCCACTGGATGTTGCCAAGACAAAATGCAGGCTGTTTTGATACCGTAACAGCATCTGCGTCATAGCTGCCATACAGTTTCCCAAAAGCTCAGGCCAAATCTAGTGACAACTTTCTATAGTAAAATGCAAGTGATGGAATTCTTAGTCCTGGAGAGAAGTTATCGAGACACATGGTGCATTTCAACAGCTGCAGTGAAGCAGGTCTGGCCTATAATAATAATAATTTATTATTTGTACCCCGCCCATCTGGCTGGGTTTCCCCAGCCACTCTGGGCGGCTTCCATAGAAACCAAAAACCCCACTAAAATATCATACATTAAAAACTTCCCTGAACAGGGCTGCCTTAAGATGTCTTCTGAATGTCAGGTAGTTGTTTATCGTTTTGACATCTGATGGGAGGGCATTCCACAGGGCAGGCGCCACTACCGAAAAGGCCCTCTGCCTGGTTCCCTGTAGCTTTGCTTCTCGCAATGAGGGAACCGCCAGAAGGCCCTCGGCGCTGGACCTCAGCGTCCGGGCAGAATTTACCACATCTCATTATGCAGCATCAAGGGGGGGAGGTGGATGGCCAAAAGGAAATGAAAACAACCACACAGAACAGAGCACTGCTAGGATGACAGACTGCTAGGGATCATACCCAACCCAAGCAAAGCAGCTTGGAGGAATGACATAAAAGTTTAACAAATAAAGAGTATTTAATTAAATCATACACAAGCTATTCTGAGCAATTTGTAGGAAGAGCAACATACAATGTCACTTTTCTTTTTTTTTACTCAGTTCCATCACAGCACAGCAAGATTCCTGCTGCTGTTCTCTCGCCATCTGCCCATCTCTTACCGCCATATATGCTGCGCAACCAGCACTCCGGGTTTTGGCTTTCGAGTCCACCAGCCTCCCACTGATCCCGAAGTCACACAATTTGATTTGCCCCCTCTCATCCAACAAGATATTTGAAGGCTTCACATCTCTATGGATGACACCATGCTTCTCTTTCAGGTAGTAGAGTGCTTTGACAATCTGAAAGCAACACAATGCAGAAGAATTAACCGTTGCTCACTATAAGGAAAACAACTCAGAACTAGTCTAGAACTCATGACACCCTTTTATCAACGTGCCTGTAAAAACATGTGCTGCTTAGAGAACAAAGGTTATGCACTCAGCAATCAGTCTGAGGCTTTCGTGATACTTGGAAGAGATAGTTTCAGCTATCTGGGGCAAAACGTCTTGTGGGGAGACAGCGTTACAGCACAGCCCTTCAGTCATGCAGATTACCAAGCAGTTTTCAGGGATACCACTGGGGAAAAAGAAAGGTGGCATGTTCATGAACTGTTGTTACTATTGAAATGCTGTTACTATTCTTGGGAACCGAAGGTGAGATCTTGGGCTTCATAGCTTTCAGTGGGGTGTGATAATACTTCAGACTCTTCAACCGAGCCCTAGATTTTACCACATCTCATTATGCAGCATCAAGGGGGGGAGGTGGATGGCCAAAAGGAAATGAAAACAACCACACAGAACAGAGCGCCCAGTCCTGGGTTCCAAATTTTGCCAAAACCCGCCCAACAGTGTAGTCATTATTTAAAAAATCTTACTCCCTCTGCTGTCCATAACAGCATTTTGCTCCAAGCAGGGAAGCTTAGCTCATTTCTGTGAGCCAAAAGAGAAACAGACGTGTGAGGCTCAAGTAAATGGAGGAGAATGGTATGTAAAATAACAAATAACAAGTGGAGAATGGTTGTTGTCCCTTCAAAAACAGCAGAAAACGCAGCTGAAAAAGAAAAATACCTGGATGCCACATGCAGGAAGGAGTTTGAAGCACAACGCATCTCCTTAAAAGCCATGATCATGGAAACTTGGAAGCAATTAATGGCTCCTCTGTGCCACAGACAAAACAAGCCAGATTCTAGCTTGTCATGTTGTGTGGACCTGGACTCAGGGCTGCTTGTTTCCTCCAAACAAACCTCAAGTGGTAACCCAAGAATAAACCTTTCTTACCACTCATCAGTTTGGAGGAAACAAGCCATGAGCCCAAGTCCAGGCAACATGACAGGCCAGATATATGGCTTGTTTTATCTGTGAAGCTGCCACAGCTGAAGCAAGGAAGGAGTACTATTAAGTAGTCTATACCAGCATGCTATTCGTTCTATGCTTAGCATGACATGTGAACTGGGCCAATGTCTAGATGGGGGAAATGTGGATCTAAATGAAAAAAGCAAAAACAAAAACAGCCCTCACCGCCACAGTCATCTTTCCCAAGATCCTCTCAGGGATAGGCCCTTGGATTCGTTTTTTCAGCTTCTCTGCACATGTGCCCATTAGCTCCATGGCTATAAAAACATCAGTCTAAAGGATGGGGGGGAAATAAAATAAAAAAGTAAAAGTTAAGGTTATTATGATGTGGCTGTTCTAAATACATTGAAAAATACAGATGGACTTGAGAAAACAGTAGCATCGCCTTCATTTACATTTGTGATGAAAGTTCCAAAGCACTGAACAATGTAAGGACAGTCATGACTCTTCAGCACCACATCCAGGTCCATCAGAATCCTCTTGTTCTCCTCTTTGTTACCAGAACGACGCATTTGCTGAACAGAGAAGAGAATGGGAATTAGGAGCAGAAGTGGAAAGAGCCAAAAGAGTCGCGGGTGATCATGCTTTGACCCACAAAGGGCCTCATGGCCCTTAACTGCTTTATGATTAATTCACAGAGCATCACTACTTTCCATCAAAGTAAGTTAAGGCCCACTTAATCCTGCCCAACTGGATTCTCTCTCAACAGCTGACACAGGAACCAAATAATCTGTGGCACCTAAGAGTTTCACCAGCAATGAACCCTCTAGAAGTCCAACTCTGCCATTTCCTTTCATCTTAAGGTATCTTCACTCAACACCTAGTAGATCTACCTCACCTTCACAGCTATGATGTGTCCAGTCTTCTTGAAACGCATTTTCCACACCTGTCCACACGTCCCACTTCCAATCTCACCCAGATTTTCTAGGTCATTGATTTCTGCTTGGTATCTCTGTGAGAAGATGAGCACATAGAGAAGCTACTCATCAATCCATTTTATATTGAAAAGGGTGGGGGGTTGCTTTCGGTTAATTCTTAATATACATCAGGCTTCAATATATTTTGAACTGCTGCACCTCTCAAGCCAGCTCACCTGCCCTCCGATGGTCAAGTAACCCGTTTGCTTCATGATTTCCTGCAGTTTCTGATCAATCTCTATACTAGAAAGGGAAAGAGAAAAAAGGGAAAATATTGTGTTTGCTTCCATTTAGCCATGGCATACAAACATCTCAGACCCCTTCTCTCTGCAGAAACAGGCTCCATCTCTGTGGAGAACCACACATTCCTCTTCTCAACAAGGGCATCTAGACAACCCTATGAACTAGTAGATCTCCATCATGAAAGAATTTCTAATATGAATTCAAAGCCAGCAACTCACAAGTCACTTACATAACAAGACACCTCAATCTGCAGATCAGAGCAGTGCAGGTTAAATCATGAGTTTTTATTACCTGGTGAAACCCCAAAAAGCAGCAGGTCCTCTACTAACTCCCAGGGCCATTACTGTATATTTTTGTGTGAATGCTATAAATCACTCATTTAGCAGACAAACTTAGCCCTTTAATTCACAAACAGGACAGTTTAAACTTTGCATGGGCTGCTACTGATATTACATGATATTACAAAAAAATAATGCAACTCAAGGCAACTAGAGGTTATGGAAGTTCCATATCTACGTAACAAAGATGGTTTGAGACAGGAGCCCTTTTCAAAAGCTCTTCTTCTTACATCAAAAGAACAGTGTGAAGCAGCTGTTAAGACTATTGCAATAGCAAAAAGCAACAAGATTAAAGTGCCTAGAGAACATTCAGTTCCCCAACACGCTATTATCCATGGCTGTACAGGCACAAGGACAGCAAACGCTTCATGCATTGTGCACAGACCTGTCTGATCAAATGGCAAGCACAACATAAAACCTTTGCTCCAAACTGCTTCCCTTTCTCAAAACAAGCTGGTCCCTCCTGTCTCAATACAGCAGAGAAGATGAGCACAGCACACCAGAACCTGCCTCATTTGCTCTAGTTCTGCTTACCTCTCCATGCTCTTGTTCATGTGGAAGGGGGGCTGAGGAGGCAGGCCCAGAAAGTTTCGGGGGCGTGACGGATGAGTGTGATGATGCTGGGGTGAGCTGTCCAAAGAGGTGGAGCGGCTACTTCCATCGTTGGCTAAGGGAAGCTGCAATGCTGAGAGGAGAGGAGAGGAAAAGTCAGGCAGGGAGGCTTCAATGCATGGGCTCCTGGTTCAAGCTAGGTTCCTTTGCAGCCCAAGCCCACAATGTTTCTAGTCTTGAAGGCAGGGGTGCTAGAAAACCAGCCTGTGGTTCCAATAAAAAGTCAGTTGTTACCTTGACTTCTGAGGTGTCAGCTTAGCCCTACTGTACTCCCAAGGTGTTCTAAAATCCCATCTTCTCAAATCTGTGTGGAAGCCACAGCTTTTAACTGTACCATCCTGGGGATAGCTCTGTCTGGGCACAATAAATAGGTCTTCCCCTGTTTTCCTGAGAGGGTGGCCAGGCTTCACTCATATGAGGATCCATGCAGCAAGTTAAACTGGATTGTTGGTGCCTATGCATATATTAAAACAGCAGGCATCTGTTGACTGGGAATAAGCCATAAACTGGCATATTCATGTTACATTGGTAGGCACCAGTGACCTGCCTGGTAGGCAGATCAATGACTGTGTGGATATTATACTGGCAAGTTTTTTGCAGGCTTAATCTGGGCCTAGGACCAGGAGGGAGAGTATGTGTGGTTTAAAATTAAATCCATTTTTAGAAAGAACCTGCTTCTGGAACTACAGATAAAGCTGCCCATCTTGCCTAGTTTCTTTGCCCAGGGGCTTGTGCAGTGAGTGTGATGTGAGATAGCACCAAGAACTTTCTTCCTGCTTGGTCTTAGCACAAGCATATTTAGACAGAGGTCTCTGCTAAGCCTGAAGAGAGCATTCTAAGGGCAACTATCCATTTTTGAACCAATCTAAAAGAGGGGACCCTTCAGGGCACCTAGATCAAGAAACTGCAGTATCCTGGGAATAGCACAGGCAAGCAGAAGTCATGCTGCACAGGTTTTAGCAACATCTGTTAGTAGCTGAATGGTTAGATCTAATCTTTCCAGTACAATTATTTGATACTGCAATTCTTCCCATAAGCTTTCATATTTTACCTGGTTTCCTGTGTCTACACAGGTTTTAATCCAAAAACAGGAAGACACAGCGAGGCACACAGCCAGAGTACAACAATTCTACATAGACATCCCAACTCACCTCCACTTAGCTCAGAGGCTAAGCAGTGCATCATGAGATCAAGCAAAGCTGCAACTCATATTCTTGGTGCCATGGCTTATTTCTAAAAATGGGAACAGGAGTGTCCCTTAAATCAACCAGTGAATAAGTCGTAGTGCTGGGGTGGGGAAGCTGTGGCCCTCCAGAAGCCGGAATCCAACCTGCATCATCCTTGATCAATGGCCATGCTGGCGGGAAGTGGGAATTCAACGTCTGGCAGGACACAAGTTCCCCACCCCAGCCCCAGTGGATTTGCTTGCTCATTTGAAAAATAAAAAGCTCAGCCACACACAATTTCCTTCATCAACCTCAACAATAGCCCTTGGCTAAAGTAGAAATACTGGCTTCCATATCGCAATCTCACCATTAACAATGACAAGGTTGCTCAATGGAACTCAGTAACAACGTTATTTTTTAATTTTAATTTCTGAAACACTTCTATCCCGCCCCCCCAAGGTTGCAAATATTAAGGTGGGAGAGGCAGAGAGAGAAGTGCTGCTACTGTCAGTTAGTTATGATAGGTTGCCGCTACTAAAGTGGATTCTCAAGTACCAGTTTCCTGATTCTTGGGCAGAAGTGGTGATTTCAAGCAGGAATTATGGTTCAGAAGAATTGTGCCAGGTTCTATACAAAATACTTAACAAGTGAGCCCACTCTCAATGCTTGGGCAGCCCCCAACTTCCACTTTGAGAGCACCTGTGTCAGCCATGAATAACAGATCAAAGTGCAATTCAACATGCTAGCTAGAATTCTGTCCTGGGATCTAAAGAGGTATACAGTGATACCTCTGGATGCGAACGGGATCTGTTCCGGAGCCCCGTTTGCATCCTGAAGTGAACGCAACCCGCGTCTGCGCGTGCACGGGTCACGATTCGCCGCTTCCGTGCAGGCGCGTGACGTCATTTTGGGCGTCTGCGCATGCGCAAGCGGTAAAACCTGGAAGTAACGCGTTCCGTTACTTCCAGGTTGCCGCAGAGCGTAACCTGAAAATGCTCAACCTGAAGCATATTTAACCCGAGGTATGACTGTACTTTTTAAAATATAAACAATGAAGCTCTATTACGGTAGCAAAATGTACATCTTCTGCTAAAAGAGCTCCCTTTATATTGCATCCATAATCCTGACAACTGTTGTGTAAGGTAGATCAGTATAACAGGTGGAGAAAGGGATATTGAGGCTAGCCAAAAGAGGTCATGAAGTGAGATTGTAACAAGGGATGTCTTAACACTCAGATCAGCTTATTCTTGATATGTTTCATTTTAATGTGCAGTGCAGTCCATGCTACAAAGATTTATAGGATGACAACATCATGGAGGACATGAGACAGACCCCCAACAGAAGAGTAAGGTATTTTAAAATCGTGGTTCATCTCAATTAGGAGCAGTTCATGAAAACTACTAAAGGTGATGCTTGCTTCTCTTGCAAGTGACCACAAAATGCTTGTACATAATCCTTTGGGGCAGAGGATAGGAGCAAACCAGTGGAGTACAGGTCCTCTGAATTCAACTCCAAAAAGGAAGCTTCCTCAGCTAGAAAATGAATTAAGGAGAGCTGACTATTTCTGAAATGTGTATATATATATTTAAAGGCATAATCATTTTTATTGCTAAGGACAAGAGAATTCTAAAATGGCCAGTGCAGGATTTTTAAATTCCCTGAAAAGGAGCTTCTAGTATAACCTGAAAGCAAAGAAAGAAAATAGAGGGAATGGATGAAAATTTTGCAGTCCAGGTTGACAAAAAGCACAAGGTGCCAGATTCAGCTAAATGGTCTCACTAGCAAGTCCATGCAAATGCTTCCACCACACAACAGTTTTCCCCCCCAATGCCCACCCAGTGGCTGGGGTGTTTTAGAGACTTCCCAGAATGACACAAGGGGAGTGTAGAGGTTGTTCCATCAAACAAGCAGAACTGCTTGCACCGATAAAGCAATCTCCTCAGCGCTACCTTGAATTTCTCTAAACTTACTCAATTACCAGAAAGGCAAAGATTAAAGCATTAATTACAATGTATGCTGTAAATACAAGATAGAGGAAATAGTATGGGTTTTATTAAGGTTTTCTGTTGCAACAGTGTAAACAAATTTCTAATGAGAAGTTTGGAGGATGTGTTGGTAGGATTGGTTCTGTGGGCAAAGGAGCAGAAGAATCTAAAGGTGCTTCAATTTCCATCAAAGGACTGGGGTATATGGGTGGGTCCTGACTAGCTAAGTCACTAATCTTATAAGCAGCTAACTAGCTGAGGCCTAGTTTTCACAAATAGCAGATCAAGTCTGGCAGATCAATGGTAGAAATATACCGTATTTTTCGCACCATAGGACGCACTTTTTCCCTCCTAAAAAGCAAGGGAAAATGTGTGTGCGTCCTATGGAGCGAATGCAGGGGGGGAGGCAGGCGGGAAAAGCCCCCCAAGAGCCGCACACAAGCTCCGTGCGCTCTTGCGGGCTTTTCCACAGGAGGGAGAAGGGTCTGACTGGCCGCATCAGTCCCTTCTCCCACCTCCCAGGAAAGCCAGGAGAAGCCGCGATCTCTTTAAAGGAGTTGCGCGGCTTCTGCGGGCTTTTGCGAGAGGTGAGGGAATCCCCCCACCTCCCAGGTAAGCCAGAAGAAGCCGTGCAGCCCTTTTAAAGTGCGCGCGGCTTCTGCCGGTTTTGCGGGAGGTGGGGGAATTCCCCCACCTCCCAGAAAAGCCAGGAGAAGCCGCGCAGCCCCTTTAAAGAGCTCACGGCTTCTGCGGGCTTTTGCGAGAGGTGAGGGAATCCCCCCCCTCCCAGGAAAGCCAGAAGAAGCCGTGCAGCCCTTTTAAAGTGCGCGCGGCTTCTGCCGGTTTTGCGGGAGGTGGGGGAATTCCCACCTCCCAGAAAAGCCAGGAAAGCCCTGCGCAGCGTCTCCCGGCAAGGGGAGGCTGCGCGCGGCTAAAGGGGAAGGCAAAACAGCGAGCGGGATCCATCCCGCTCGCTGCCTTGCCTTCTTCCATAGCTGCGCGCAACCCCTCCGCAAGGAGACGCTGCGCGCGGCTAAAGGGGAAGGCAAAACAGCGAGCGGGATCCATCCCGCTCGCTGCCTTGCCTTCTTCCATAGCTGCGCGCAACCCCCCGCAAGGAGACGCTGCGCGCGGCTAAAGGGGAAGGCAAAACAGCGAGCGGGATCCATCCCGCTCGCTGCCTTGCCTTCTTCCATAGCTGCGCGCAACCCCTCCGCAAGGAGACGCTGCGCGCGGCTAAAGGGGAAGGCAAGGCAGCGAGCGGGATGGATCCCGCTCACTGCCTTGCCTTCTTCCATAGCTGCGCGCAACCCCCCGCAAGGAGACGCTGCGCGCGGCTAAAGGGGAAGGCAAAACAGCGAGCGGGATCCATCCCGCTCGCTGCCTTGCCTTCTTCCATAGCTGCGCGCAACCCCCCGCAAGGAGACGCTGCGCGCGGCTAAAGGGGAAGGCAAAACAGCGAGCGGGATCCATCCCGCTCGCTGCCTTGCCTTCTTCCATAGCTGCGCGCAACCCCTCCGCAAGGAGACGCTGCGCGCGGCTAAAGGGGAAGGCAAAACAGCGAGCGGGATCCATCCCGCTCGCTGCCTTGCCTTCTTCCATAGCTGCGCGCAACCCCCCGCAAGGAGACGCTGCGCGCGGCTAAAGGGGAAGGCAAAACAGCGAGCGGGATCCATCCCGCTCGCTGCCTTGCCTTCTTCCATAGCTGCGCGCAACCCCTCCGCAAGGAGACGCTGCGCGCGGCTAAAGGGGAAGGCAAAACAGCGAGCGGGATCCATCCCGCTCGCTGCCTTGCCTTCTTCCATAGCTGCGCGCAACCCCCCGCAAGGAGACGCTGCGCGCGGCTAAAGGGGAAGGCAAAACAGCGAGCGGGATCCATCCCGCTCGCTGCCTTGCCTTCTTCCATAGCTGCGCGCAACCCC